ATAAATAAAAATGGAAATTTTAATTAATGAACACTTAAAAATGACAGAGATACAAATAACATTCCTTATATACAAAATTTTCGAAGAATATATTTTAGTTTTAATAAATTATTACACATAAAAAATTATTACTTTGAAAAGCATATAATAAAATATTATAGTTTTATATTTTTAGTACATTTCAAAAATTTAATTAAATATATTTTTGAAACAAAGTACATAATCCAATTTTACGTAATTAAAAATAATATTTAAAATGAAGAAACAATTTGTTACTTAATTAATTTATGGACTTAAATGACTGTTCGCCTATCACCAAATCCTTAAATATTAATTATACCTCATAATAAAAACCACATTCTAGAGTATGTAGCCAAGAGATGTTTAAAACAAACTAATTATTTTTAATTGGAATTAAAGTGTATTAAATATAATTTTCTTATTGTATCTCTGCCATTTCTATTTATTCATTAAATAAAATTTCCACTCTTAGTCAGTTGTTATTTTTTTTTTAACTACTGAGTCAGTCATTATCCACTCAAAAGAATGCAATACGATACGAATCAATAAATCAACGACTGTCAAAATCATTAAAAGTATTTTATTTTGTAACCATAGAATAATTAATATTTAATAATTAATTTTATGAATTAAAAACAATTAATAATTCTCTAAGCTTTGAACTTAGCTGTTAATCATGATATTTTCAATTAAGTTATGCAGTCATGTATTAATCAAATACTTTTTCTAACAATTTAAACAGAATACCTTTGGTAACTCTACGCTATATTAAAGGATTCAAAGAAAATTTTCTTCTTTCATAATTCTGTATTTAACTCTAGACATTATTAATTATTCTTAAACCTGATATCTGGTTTGACACGACAATACTTGGACAAGGAAATAGTTCTTGCATTTTTATGTGCTAAAACTCAAATCCAATCCTTGTTTTCCTTTTTTGGTATTAAAGCCCAAGTCAAAAGCGAACTTCTCTTCGGTGAATGCCCATCTACACCTCTGTAATCCACCATTAAGCATCCATTATCAATAGAATGCTGATATCGAATTCTATCAGGATGCGTGTAATTCCGGTATCTCATAACAATGCATCTCCCGTGATATAAATAAGGGTAGCTTCGTGCTTTGGGCGTACAATGCATCGGAAGGAGCAGGAATAACTCGCGTATTAAATTAATGAAACGGAGATGCATTTATCATTATGGTAACGAAGAAGACTGAATTAATCATACCTTCAATGCTCCTGGTTGAGTTGCAGCTAACGCGCGTGATAAATCGTGGGGACGACGACTTCTCCTATTGGGCAAAGAATAAAGAATGAGTCCTGCCCACAGTGGGAGAGTGGCCGAAAGAGATTTGTTAGCGTGTAGTAGCGGGTCATGTACAATTCTGTTCTGGCTATGAAAGATTATTCACGCTGCATTTTCATCTAACTAAGTGTTATTATCGTGCGAATTCAGATGGAGTAGTTTTAATAGTTTACATTGTAATACGTGCTTAGTTTATGTATGTATGTATATGTGGTTAAGTTGTGGTTATTTTTTTATTGCTTTGAAAAACATTTCTTACAAATGTGTTTGAATAATTAGCGCGTATTCATAAATTTTGTTTTTAATTGCCATAGTGGTAATGTAACTAATGACGCTCTGGCTGTTGGTACCACCGGCTTTCGGGTTTGAATCCTGGCAGTGGCATGGATTTTTGTTAGTTGTTGGGAATCGACGTTAAACTGTAGGTCCCGATCTAATTAACCCAAACTGTGCACAAAATCCCAATAGAAAGGCAAACCAAACCAAATTTTAACAACACATAATGGAAAATTTATTAATATTTCTCACTCAATGTTCTTTTCTTCATTGACGCAGCAGCTCCATGGTAGGCCATGGCCGTCTGCCTATAGGCAGATTTTGAGACAGGAGAAGTAATTTTTACCGGGTAGGGTTGTCAGAACTAAGCCCAACCGGTTACAGTCATATTAGACCGGCACCTACGGTTTAAAGTGGATTCAGAACCACTACAAACATATATGACTCTGCCGTGACTCCAACCTGAAGCCTGTGGCATCGATGGCCAGAGCGTTAGTCACTCGGTCATCAGGCCCCAAAATTTTGAATGCCAACGCTACGCGGTGTTCCCAGGTGGTCACCCTCCCAAGTGCTGACCGCCCCTGATGATGACTGACTTCGGTGATAGAACGAGAACCGGTATATACCGCATTGTATGGCCGTTCGCCAATGTTCTTTTGATTTTTTAAAATCAGTTGTAAATATCTTACATTTTCCAAAAATATAAATTCTGTATATCTCTAATCCCCTTTTAAACATTCATTGTTAATCGAATAGTCTTAATCCTAATGGGAAGTATGCATATTTGGCTTCTATAACAATATATCTCTTCTAATACAAAAAATGAGAATGCGGATAAAATGCATTGGGAAGCGCTGGAATAACTGGTGCGTTAAATTAATTAATTACTTGGAGATATATTCATCACTATAGTAACGTTATCATACCTGCAATGCTCTTAGATGTACTCAATAATTTCGCAGTCAGAGAATGATAAATCATGGTGATGACAGGCTTCTCCTATTGGTCAAGAATGAAGGATGTGGACTGCCCACAATGGGAGAGTGACTGAACGAGATTTGTTATGGTGTTGTAGCTTGTTATGTATTGTTGCATTCTGGTTATAAAAGATTATATATTTGAGACTTTTCTTTAATTAAAGGTTGAATGTGCTATTTCGAAGCTAATTTATCTGGGATACTTTTAAACGCTTAGATGATAGCATATATTTTTCTGACATTTTCTTATATAATTCCTATTCTTTATAAAAATATTTAAAATAATTGATAAAGGATATTTTAATGAATAAAATATTGTGATTGTTTAAAAAAAGGAAATTATACAATACGAATTTCATAATAACTTTTTTTTAACTTCGAACTAAAACTGAATGAATTAAAAATGCCATTGCTACTTAATTACATGTCTTATAATTTTCTTTTAATATCCGCTAGTACATTAATGGTCCAAATGTCTCATTTATATATACCCCCAATATATATATATATATATATATATATTTGGTACCAACGGGCTGCCATTAAGATTAGGACTACCTGCTCCGTATTTACTGTTGTACCAGGTAAAACCAGAGAAAACTCCCATCAATCAGCCTGCTTGTCATTTGAGAACATACACGTTTCCTTACTCGATATCGAGTCTCCTCGTATTTTGATGCAGTCTCTGCAAAGGCGCCCCCAAGGTATTTGAACTTTGGCCATTCTGCAAAGTATATAAATTTGAAACATAAATTTAGATATCTATCAACGGATTAATGAAAACAAATAATTATAAAGAACAAATAAAGAATTAAGTTTTTACACAGAATATTATAACAATATGAATACATATTTGTAGTCTGCTTCTCTCATACACATGAAGTAATATTGATTTAGTTCTATTACTTAAGAGTACAGAAGAAACAAATATTTAAAGCAAAATTAAAATAATCCATTAAAGATGGCACGACAGAGCTGATTTATAAAACATATAAATCTCTCATTAAGTGGAAGTGTTTCTTCCATATACACTGAAGTGACAAAAGTCATGGGATAGCAATATGCAAATTTTCAGATGGCAGTAGCATCACGTAGAACAGGTATAAATGCGCAGTGCTTTCGCAGAGCTTTCATTTCTGTTCAAGTTATTCATGTGAAGAGGTTTTGACGTGATGATGACCGCACGACGGGAATTAACAGACTTTGAACGCGGAACGTTAGTTGGAGCTAGACGCATGGGTCATGCCATTTCGGAAATCGTTAGGGAATTCAACATTCCCAGATCCATTGTGTCAAGAGTGTGCCGAGAGTATGAAATTTCAGGCATAACATCCCACCATGGACAGCGCAGTGGTCGACCGCCTGCACTAAACGACCGAGACCGGCGACGTCTGCAAAGAGTCGTAAGTTCTAACAGACAAGCAACACTGCGTCAAATAACCGCAGAAATCAATGTGGGACGTACAAGGGACTTGTCTGTTAGAACTGTGCGGAGAAATTTGGCTTTCTTGGGCTATTCCAGCAGAAGACCGACTCGAGTGCCTTTACTGACAGAACGACATCGCTTGCAGCGACTCTCGTGGGCACGTGAGCATATCGGTTGGTCCCTAGATGAATGGAAAACCGTGGCCTGGTCCGATGAGTCACGATTTCAGTTGGTAAGAGCTGATGGTAGGGTTCGAGTGTGGCGCAGACCCCACGAAGCCATGGACCCAAACTGTCAGCAAGGCACTGTTCAAGCTGGTGGTGGCTCCGTAATGGTGTGGGCTGTTTTTTCATGGCATGGACTTGGTCCTCTGGTGCGACTGGACCGAACATTGACTGGAAACGCTTATGTTCAGCTATTTGGAGATCACTTGCAGCCATTCATGGACTTCATGTACCCAAACAACGATGGGATTTTTATGGATGACAATGCGCCATGTCACTGGGCCACAACTGTTCGCGATTGGTTTGAAGAACATTCTGGACAATTCCAACGAATGATCTGGCCACCTAGATCACCCGACATGAATCCCATCGAGCCTTTATGGGACATCATCGAGAGGTCTGTTCGTGCCCAAAATCCTGCACCATCAACGCTTTCACAATTATGGACGTCTATCGAGACAGCATGGCTCAATATTCCTGCAGAAGACTTCCAACGACTTGTTGAGTCCATGCCACGTCGAGTCGCCGGGCGAAAGGAGGGCCGACACGATATTAAGAGGTATCCCATGACTTTTGTCACTTCAGTGTATATTGCTATCTTTCACAATAACTCAGAGGAAATGATGAAAGAAACTCATGTCGTACTCAAATGTAAAACATTTTCTCAGAAGATGACTGCTATTTATTTCGCCAGAGAGCAAGCATTCATAATAATAAATCCATCGCCAGTTTTTGCAACAAGCTGTATGGTCAGAAAAAAGAGAAAATGTCGACTGCTATTGAGTTATTTATACAAGAAATGTTCTTTTATTAAGTAAAAGTGTCCAATGGATAAAATAAGTACAAATATTTATTGTTGCAGAATACTTTTCTTCGTTTGAGAACAAGATTCATCGTAATAACTTATCGTTCTTAAGAAGAATAAGTTTTTATACGTTCTTACAAGAATTGTCATTTGATTGATAACTAGACATAATATTGATAACTTGACATCGCTGAATCACAGTTTGCAATTGATGTTATTGTTGTGTTTAACCCTCAGTGTCCCGCAGTGCGGAACGGATATGCCATGAGTAGTCTGCTCACGGAAGGAGAGAGGGGTGGGGCAGCTTCTGTTGCGATGAAGCACCCGTAGGTAGAAGTTTGACATGGCTCTATATCGCTTAAGAAGTAGGGAAGTGCCTGCCGGGAGGAGTTTTAGGGAGAACTACGTCACATTTGCGTATCGTATGGGAGAACTCCCGGAAAACTTATAACAAGCAATAAGTCCGTGTAAATTAAGTTCCATTAAATAATATTTTGTGATTTTTTAAATTCAATATCATAGTTAAATTCTTATGCAATATAACAGTTACATTTCCCAATACAATTTTTTATTTTTAATATACTAAAAGTAGTGTCATGAGGTACAAAACAGTTTAATAAAGTGTTTTAGAAAGTGGAGATAGTTACGAATGAATACTACTGTTTGTGAAAAGTGTCCTAATAAGCGTTACTATCTGGAAAACGCCGTTTAAATCTTTATAATCCGACACAAATGATGCGAAACGAAGTATAAATCACTCCATTCCCCTGCGACAACACAGCGTACGGATTTAGAACTTCGCGAAAAGGATGTTCATCAACAATCCGGCAGAACTCGATTAAAACTATCACAGAATGCAGCACTCTGCCCGACTGCGAGCAGACGAGAAAAGAGAGAAAAATGGAAGCACTTCTACTTCGAATCTAATCAGGCGGGAAAACGACCCACTTAAAACCATTCCATTTCCCCTGGCGGCCATTACTGCAGAATTCTCAGCAAACCGCGGGCAAATTAAAAGAACACGTATTAAAACTCGTGTGGTCCGGCAATAAAATCCGGCGCTTCTGTCCCATTTTAATTAAATGTAAATACTTTGGTGGGTCGAAGTTTTAATTGGCAGCCACCCTTGAAACTTTTCCCTCTCTAAAAGCAGAATAGATTTGAAATTGTGATCGCAACGAATAAGAGTTCGTGGATTGCAATTAAAGCATTTTCGGGTATTGGATATGAGTTATGATTTATCGGCATCTGAATGTTCCAAATGGGTGAATTAGAGGTTAAATATTCCCGCGATATCTGGTGTATTAAATGGTATTCAGATAACAACAAAAATTAAGTATTAATTAATCACTACTAATCTCCAAACCACATTTGGGAAAGTCGTTATTGGTTTTTCGGCAGAAAAAGTGATAAGAGTTTAAATTATCGTATTTAGTATTTTTTTAATTGTTCATATTTAAATATGAACAATTTTTGATTTTATTTTCTATGTCGTGATTTTATTTTCTTTGTCAATTCAGGAGCTGATGATACAATACGACATTTGAGTAATACGAGATTCAACGTTAGGTACAGTTCGTATATCCAGTTGAGAATATCATCGAAAATCAGAGATTCAAAAATGAAATTATGAAGAACTAAATAGTTTTTCAAACTAATATTTGAAAATCAATAAATGGCTTTTTTAAATAATAATAATTTGTAGAATATTTTCGATATTCATTAATGAGTTTGCCAATCATAATGTATTATATATCGAATTAATAGCATAAAAAATGCCAATTTTGACATTATAAATATTTTTTTAATACAGCGATTACGTTTAGTTTTAACATTGAGCTAATATTTAAAATTTCAGCATTCTTTAAGTTAGGGGAAATAGCGACAGTTTAAGATAGCACTGATGATACTAGTTTACAACCGGTGATGATTGAAATACAATTGTGCGTTGTGAATGTAAAAGCTAAATTTTTTAATATTTTCCCATAAGGACTTGGTTTTATTCCCTGCTGGAATTTACAAAAGTTTATTTTTCAAAAATTATATAAAAGAATTGAAAGGATTATTATCATTCAATTTTATTGTGATCATTTTTTACACCAGGACGTGTGAAGTATTATCCCCCTCATCTTTGACAATTAGGGTGTTCAATTATAAACCTCTTGAAACTAGAACTAGAACCAGGCCCAAATTGAGATGGATTAAGATTT